CTAGTCCTTTAATTAAATCCTTAGAAGCTTTAATTAAAATGAAAGCCACAAGGGAACTGAAACCATATTATTACAGTTATATACATTTTGCATATTTTGTTGTGTTAATATTATGCAGGTAATGAAGATAAAAATAAATTATGTCAATTAATTTTTCTCTGACCTATTCCTGGGAGGCTCCAGAGAGAAAAATAACCACTAAGGGATTTGGAAATTGTTGTAAAAGTTTTTCTTAAATCATTCAATTTCAATCATAGAAGAAATGCAGTTGGGTATGGTGGTACACATCTGTAATCTCAGTGCTCAGAAGACTGAAGGAAGAGGTTTCCAAGTTTAAAGCTAGCCTGCCCTACAAAGCAAGACTCTGTCTCAAAAACAGAACAAGCAAAACAGAAACATGCATATATTTATGTATAACATTATGTTAAAATAATGTGTTTTAAGCTGGGAGATGCTTATCTGTTCTTTTCTTTTGTTCATTTAAAATTAAAAGTTAGGTTAAACTTAAAGTCAGAGAAAATGAACATTCTAAGAATGTCATTTTAAAAAGAATTTTGATAAAAACAATTATACATTGCAATTTGTCTCTATCATAAAGTTTCTACAAAATAAGAAAAAAAGAGATGGTAAAGGTTAGTCTCTTTTCTTTAGTGACTAGGTCACGATAGGCCAGTTAGCTATTTACTCCAAGTAAGAATTTTTCACTGGTGAGTAAACTTAAAGTATTAAGATAGCATATTTAAGATAGGCTTGTTAATAGTGTAGTCCATTTCTATGTGTGCAATTCATTTTTTTCTTTCTCCAATTGATTTAGAATGTCAAGTCAAGGATCTGAAGGAAATAAGGCAGTATCACAAGGTTAGCACAATTTGTTGCTTTGGTATAAGGAAACCAGTAAGTACTAACTACTTACAGGCATAGATTCTAAGGCTCTTTGCCCTTAGAGCAAAATCAGTAAACACTAAGAGTTATTTCCAGCTCCATTCTTCAAGAACAGCATCTGCCGAGTTTTACATAAGATAAATCTGACATAAATTTATGGTTGGCGACAGAACACTCTGAAAAGCAACACAGTAGATGATAAGGTCTGTTGAGTATATTTACATGCACACTCACCGAAAAGGAAACCTGCATCGATTCACAAAAAGACAATACTTATTTGTCTTCAAAGTAAATGTTTTCACTGTAAACAAAAATACAACAGAGAAAAGAATAAAACTGCAACCGCCCATAAGCAGAGACAGCTTGTGGTTTTAATGAGACAGCTGAAATATGAAGTCTGGTCCCTGATCAAAGGCCTAGTACCATCCTACAAGATGGACCAAAGAGTCTCAATAATTATAGAAATCCCTGCATTGGTCCTGAATAGCTCAACTGAAGCATCTCTGGAGGCTTGCAGCTCCTAGAATTAAAACAAGCATTGAAATAATGATTCTAGAGCAACTATCAAGTATATCTGTAGGCCTCAACAAGAATGTGTCTTGTTTCTCCAAGTGTCACAGGTCAGTGACCACAATTCAAGCCTGGTGGGCTTGGGGACCCTGAGGTATAGGCGCAGAAGAAATCAGGACGCAGGGGATGCAAAGGCGTGTGAACCAATGCATGCTTAACCTTATTTATAGTACAACAAGAGGAAGAGAAATATTCTACTCAGGCCAAATGATTTCATTCTGACATTTGTAGTACTTTCTTTCCTGACCTTTACAATATCTTCAGGTTCCCAGGGGTCATCCCTGTTTGGGATCTTTTATATCTTTGTAGCTTTATTATGTATCTTTAATCAGATACAAGGAACAGTTGGTCTTATGATAATAATAATTGCAGAAGAACATCCAAATTCTCAGGGAACTGAACTTTCCCGGTCCAGGTCTGAGTTTATTTCAGGTCAGAACTTACCGCCATGTGGAGACTGGGTTTAGAACGTGGGTCCTCTACAAGAGCTTTTAACTGTTGAGCCATCTCTCCAGCCCCGTTCTTCTTAAAAAATATTTTATTTATTATTTTTATTTTATGTGTATTAATATAATGCCTGCATGTATGTAAGTGCACCCATGTCGTGCTATGCCCACAGAGGTCAGAAGAGGGCATCGTGTTTCCCTGGAACTGGAGTTATAGACAGTTGTTAGCCACCACGTGAGCGCTGGGAATGGATCCTGGGTCCTCTGCAAGAACAGCCAGTGTTCTGAACAGCTGAGTTTTCTCTCCAGCCCCATCAAATGAAGGTCTTTAAGGTCACTCTAGACACACCACTTTCACCAAACCCCAAAGCAGCACTATATGCTAACAGGCAGTAAGCAAAGTTTGAAAATAGAAAGTAAGATCTTCTCAGGATAGCTCGCTTTGTCTGGCCTTTCTCCCAATTCCTCATTATAGTGCAATACAGTTATTACATAATGATTTCTGTTCAACTTTATGTCAAACCTATAATCCACATATACATTTCACCCCGCCTAGATACCTGGAATTTTTTCAGTAAGAATTTCCAAATTGTGCTGCTTCTCTCCCCTGCTGATTTTCAGTATCCTTTCCAGGCCTCCGCCTGCTTAGATGTGACTTTGTAGACTTCGGAAAGCTCTAAGGGGCATAACTGATATGTTTTAAGCTGCTTGTCTGGTCTCTTGCTGCATTTGTCAGGACCACAGATCCTTCTCTCATTGGTCTAGTCTTTTCCCCAACACCCCCAGCCATCACTAACTCTAAATCATTCCCACCAAAACCTGTTTGCCTCTGAGAGTGAAAGAGCATACCATGCATATGGTAGAGCAAACATCTCACTAAAGGTCAGCATGGCATGAAAGATAAGAATAGATTCTTTTATGAATTTGGGGTGTTTCTGATTCACATAACCTTCATATATTGTCTTGTTTTCAGCCCTGAATCATTTGCTACTAAAACAAGGCAGAAGTTGTGTTCAGTCTCTCGATCTCTCAATTATGGCCTCATAAGAGTCTCATATGGTCTCATGGTTCTTCCTTCTTCTTTTTCTGTTTCAGAGGCTGAGCACAAGACCCCATTTTTTATAAGAAAAAGCAAGACAAAATTACCTGTTACAGAATATTTCAGCAAGCCAAAGCCTTTTTTCAGGCCTAATACTCAAGACAGTGGGTCAGCAAAACCAGTGTCAGCAAGAAGCACCCAAGGGTACAGTCCTCTTTGAGGACTATCTTTAATGTACCAAAGGTAGAAATGGAGGCTGGGTTAAGTCTTTCATGAACATGAGCTTCACACAGATACATCACATTAGTTTTTAAAATAATCAATCATCCTATGTATGGTGACACATGTAAACCTCAAAAACACCTGTATATAATGCTACAAATAAATATTAATGGAGATAATATTTCTTTTTGTAGATAATTTGAATACATGTAATACAAATATGCTCATTTAAAGGCCAGCTGGGGCTACAAAGAGACCCTGTCTCAAAAAAAGACAAAAAATAAAAATAAAAAAGTAAAATAAATGCTGATTCCAGTCCTGCATTATTAGTATTTATACCTAAGCATAGCACTCTGATACTTGAAAGCAGAATGGGACAGCTAGAACTTGGCAGCCAGCCATGGCTCAGAGTGGTGGGAACACAGGTGCAGGTGGGAACACAGGTGTGTTCTTTAAACTCATTGAATTCTTTGACCCTGTTTATGATTGTTCTTTTAAATTCTGTGTTCTGGGTTCTCTAGTGGGTTCTGCCTGTCCATGACTCCCAAGTGCTGTGATTAAAGGCATGTGCACCACCCTGCCTGGTCATATATTCTTTTGAGGCATTTAAATATTCACTAAATTCCTTACCATTATGTCCTGATACATGTGACTTTAATATTTACTAAAGTTTTGACTAATAATGAATCTAAATATAGCAACAAAAAAGTTGAGAGGAAAAAGTTACTCTTAGAGAAAAAAGCTTAAATATTTGCATGACCAATCTTTAAATAATTCAGAAGCTGGTTATATGAGAAGCAGTGATCATTGCTTTCTTGCCACCAATAACCTAGATGATATATGAACCTCTTTATTGAGATTTATTTGTATTTGTGAACATATGCCACATGTGCAGGTACTTGCAGAGGGCATTGGATTCCTATGGAGTTACAGGTGTTGTGAGCTGCCCAGGTGGTTGGTAGGGAACCTACCTGAGGTGGAAAAGCAGGAAGTGCTCTTAACTGCTGAGTCATCTCCCCAGTCCCCAAGATATGGGCTTAGGGTGGCAAGACCTGTGTCCTCCACAGATACACAAGTCCTAATATCTGACACTCACCCACGAATATGACCTAATTTGGAACATGTAGACTACATGGGGTTATGCTGGATTATGGTAAATCCTAATTCAGTGCTGGTCTCCTAATAAAAGTCTGGACACAGATGTAGAAGACAAGAGGATACAGGATCATGTGACGACAGATCATATGGAAGTGATGCAACTGTAAGCCAACCCCTGCATCCCAGATTACTGACAACAAACAAAAGCTAAGGCTTGAAAAAATCTTCCCTGAAGCACTCACTGGGAGGGGGCATGATCTTGATTTTGAACTTTTAGCCTCTGGAAAATAAGTTTGAAAATAAGTTTTTCATCTTTACCCATCTGGTTTGTGATGATTTCTTTCAGCATGCATAGGAAATAAAGAGCTTTTGCAATTAATGAAAATTGAACCATGTGGTACTTGTAACAATTTTCCTCACTTTCCATAACTAAACAGAGTCTTATTCTACATAATAATTTAAGTGACAAGCATTATAGGGGCTGAAGATATCTTAGTGCTTAAGAGCACTGGCTGTTCTTGCAGAGGACCCCAGTTCAGTTCCCAGCACCTACATGGTGGCTAACAACCACCCATAGCTCAGTTCCAGGGTATTTGACACCCTCTTCTGGCATCTGTGGGCATTGCATGATATGGGTGTACTTACACATGTGCAGGCAGTACACTGACATATGTAAAATATTTTTTAAAGTGTTTATTAGTTACTTTTCTGCTGCTGTGACAGAATCCTTGACAAAGAGCAACTTAGAGAAGAAAGGATTTATTTTGGCTTAATTCCAGAGGGACAGAGTCCATCATTGGGGGCGGGAGGGAAGAGGCATGACAGCAGGAACATCAGGTGGCCCAGCAGTCAGGAAACAGAGTGATCACATTTTATTTGCACACAGGAAACCAAGAACAGGAAGTGGGGCCAGGCTATAAACCCTTCAAATCAGTCCTCTGTGATGTGCTTCTTCCAGTAAGGGTCCACCTCCTAAAGTTCCATAAACTTTCAACAGCCCCACCAGCTGGGGACTGAGTGAATAAGAAACACATGAGCCTCTGGGGACTTTCCTATTCAAATCACAACAGGCACATTTCATGCTAGTCTACTACATGTACTCAGAGAAATCTGAACCTCTGAAAAGTTCACTAATATGAGCTTTGTTCTTTTAGACTTGTAGGACTCTTTATTTACACCCTGTGTATGAACTTTAAAGTATGAAAATAACTAAGAGTGAAGTGGTAAACAACACTAAATCTAGTAAGCTTCCTAAAGAATGGGATGTGTTAGCATAGCATGTATGTTATATAATTATGTATGTTTCACATATTTAATAAAAAACAGAAAGGACTAGAAACTTAATTTGCTACAATTCAGTGAATATTCCTGCCATTTTCCTTATACTGACAGAGAATACTTTATCCTCAATATGAACTTCCCTGCAATGACTATTTAAGAACTGAAACAGCTTCATTTTGCTCTGTTCTCCCTTGCCAATGTTTCTTAACTGCTTAATTTTATATTTTGGCATTTAATGAAATTCAAATTACTTTTAGTGTTTTCAACACAGTCATTACAGAAACACACAGTCCTGTCATAATTAATTAATGCCTAAGAACCAAATGTGATGTGGACAAACAGATGCAAACAAAATTACAGGCACATTTGCATAAACGTGTATGTTATTTACAGAAACACATTTACATTAGTTGGAATATTACTACAGTAGGAAGCAGATGCATAACATTCACATTAAAAGCCAACATTTTATTTTTAAAAAACATATGGAAACATAGGATCGGATAGTTTTAAATTCAGGTTGAGACAAATGGGTCCTTCAAAAATAATAGCCTTATAAAATAATCTAGCCCACAAAATATCAATTTATACCTGAAACAAATATTACTCTTACAAGATTTAAGACTGTTCTTTTGTGATTATTTCAGAACCACGAAAAGGTATCACAGAGAAGGCTCAGGTATGGGCTCCACTGACCAAAGAAAGGAACTGCTGAGTCAACAAACAACTGACACTTCTTCCTATAATTAATGTATCTCTTAGAAAGAACTAAACTGAACATAAAAAATCACAAACAGAAGGCAACTTCCCATTTTCAGCATTCTAGCAGCCTTACAAACAGTCATTAGACCAAAATGATTCTGACAGGGACAAAAAACAAAGAGCTGAGAGGTCAGAAGGCACATTTTGAAGAGTATATTCTGTACGTGAAGGGACACTAATAATATTCTCTACAACTGTTATTTGAGGTTAAAAAAACAATTTTTAAAATGACACCTTTAAAATCTTCTTACATAAAACCAAAAAATTTCTCTTAGTGTTTACAGGCTTCTCATCACTCAGCTCTTTTAAAAATGTTTAGATTTCACAACAGAAGGGAACATAAGATTTTTCTCCAATGTGAGCATTCTGTGAAGCACCCACTTTCTATTTCATTTAGGCTGAAGAGCCAGGCAGCGTTACTGTGGACCAGAGCTCGCTGCAGACTCGGTGCTGTTTTCCTTACCCCGCTTTTCTTCTTTCTGCAGTGAGTTTAGTTTTCTGCAATGCTCTCCCTCGCTGGAGTCATTGTCCAATCCACCATCAGCCCGAGACTGCTGGTCCTGGGAAGATCTTTCAGGGGCTTGGTCTGCAGGCACAGCTCCTTTGCGTTGGGGTAAGATAGTAAAAAAGGCCTCCTGCCAGTCTCTTGTTTCCAAGTATTCCAGAATAATTTCAAACACTGCAGTAAGGACAAATTGCGGACATTTCTTAGGCAAGTTCATCACAACATTACACTGCCTTTGTGTTCTCTGTGAACCAGCTTTACTTTAATTCAGTTCTTAAGCCTGCAGTGCCAGCTGTCAGTTATCAGCAGACAGAGGCCCTTTGCAGCTTCCATCTTATTCCTGTCACTTTCATGTCATCGTCCTTCATGCAACGAGGAAACAAATCTCCATTATCTCCATTTCTACCTACAAAGAGCCACGGGGAGGAACTTTCACCTGCCTTTTGCATTTGTTTTCACTTAGTAGAAAGAATATCAATACTGTCTCCAAGTTTGCCATGCTACTACAGTACTATTTTGTGGAAAAGTAATTTCCACTACACAAAAAGGCATTAGAAGAAATTTGTTGTTTGAATCAATAATTTCATTTCTATAATTCCCTAAAGTCTTTGATTACATACTGGCCAAAAGCATTCTTGAAAAAATTGAATTTCAGGGCTGGAGAGATAGCTCAGCAGTTAAGAGCACTGGCTGCACTTGCAGAGAACCCAGGTTCGGTGCCTAGCAACCACATGGTGACTAACAACCATGCATAACTCCAGTTCCAGGGGATCTGACACCCTTTTCTGACCTCCGCAAATTGCACAACATGGGTGCACTTATATACATGCAGACAATACACTCATATACATAAAAAAATAAAATATAAAAAATTAAATTATGCAAGAAGCTCCTCAGTGGCAGAATAAGAAAAATTCAATTGATTTTCTTTCTGAGTAAAATATCTTTCTACATGCTAGGCATGGTGGCACTTACTTTTAATCCCAGTACTCGAGAGGCCAAGGCAGGCAGATCTCTGTGAGGTTAAGGCCAGCCTGGTCTATATAGTGAGTTCTAGTCAGCTGGGGCTACAGGGAGACCGTGTCTCAAAAATATTCCCTATCACTTTTCTCTCAGTAGAAAACAAACAGAATTCTAAGAGAAGCACCATCATCACTCTTTTTGTGAGTGTAAAAATGTATAAAATAAAGGTAGGTTTCAATTATACAGCATCTAGACACAAAAACAACAAAGATAAATGAAATGAAATTCTGAATGAAAAACATTTTCAACTACCCACAGATTTTATTTTTCCCCTTCTGTCAACTAAAAAACTGCTGGCAGGAATTTCTTCTCAAGATTAAAATGTTTGAAGTCTGTGTCTATCCCATACTGAAATGCCCAAAACACAGTCTAAGAATATAAAAGTTAAATTTCTCAACAAGCAGTTAACATATTTGGGGGCAAACAAATAACAGGATCCAAGTGCTTTTGAAATAAAATTGTTTTAGTTTAGAGAAAGAGATAACAGGTAAGATTGGAGAAGTGGAGAATCTGTTTCTATAGAAATTGTAAACTAGAATTTTCCACTAAGAAAACAGAAAGCCTAAAGATCTGACAAATTCCCTCTGATGTTCTAGAGCTGCATGTCCAACTGGTAGCCACACTTGACTATCTAAATTTAAACAGATAATTGAAAAAAAAATTCAGCCCTGGGGCTAGAGATGGCTCTTCCAAAGGACTAAGTTCAGTTCCAAGCACCCATGTCAGGCAGCTCAAAACTGCCTGTAACTCCAGCTCCGGGGCAGTTAATGTCTCTGGTTTATGTGGGTACCTGCACTCAATTCAGGGCAAAAAATTAGATCCAATTAGATCCAAATGTATTACAATGTCAATCATGACAGCAAAAATAAAATATTCAACAATGGGTGCTTGATTAAATTACTATTTTGAGGATGGGATATTATATAACCACTAATAATCATTCAATAACCTGGAAAACTATGATGAATTGAGGGATACCCCAGATTAGTAATGCTAACAGTAAGAATCAAAACAGATGATAACTATCATAGGAAAAGAACTGAAAGGAAACACATCAAAAAGCTAATATCAAATACCTGTGAGTAGTGAGCAGAAGCCAGTTGTTTTCATACTTTTGTACACTTTAAAAAATTTTCTAGGTCGGGCGTGGTGACGCATGCCTTTAATCCCAGCACTAGGGAGGCAGAGGCAGGCAGATCTCTGTGAGTTCAAGGCCAGCCTGGTCTACATGGTGAGTTCCTGGACAGCTGGGGCTACAGGGATACCCTGTCTCAAAAAGACACCCCCCCCAAAAAAATTTCTAAAATAGGTGTTTTATATTTCCAATACATTATAAATGATTATTCTTCAAATTTTGTTTCTCTAGCAAGGTGTAATAGTTTCTACATGTCTAACCCTAAATGTAATGTTGTTTTTCACAGTGTTCACTTTGGTATACCTTCAGTTGACCTCTACATAGCTTACCATGATTGACTGCTAAAACTTTTCGACTGTTCATCTTCACAAAATCTCCAAGGGGGAGCTGTGCATGTTCAATTCCATAATCAGATGCCTGTTTAAATGTAATTCCCTAAAACAGAGACATTGCAATTTAGACTTAAACATTAAATATTCTAAAGTCTGGCAGTATAAATCATTTTTAGAAAGGACTTTAGTTCACAGATTATCATCTGGAGGGTAGGCTGCATATGTATTTAACTCTTGACTATCAGTCAGAACACCAAAGCATTTGTTTTAACTTGCTCAGCTTATAAAAGAGGAAACCAAAAGAATTATAGCCCCAGCACGGGTAAGAAGCTCCTCAGTGGCAGACACACACATAGACAAATAATGAAAACACACAGCTTTAAACAACTCAGCTCCTCAGTCATATCACACTTAGGTGCTCCACATCCACACAGCTACCACACTTGACAGGCAAAAATGAACATCTCCATCACCACAGGAAACGCTACTTTACAGCATGCCACTGAAGAAGAAGAATCCTTCATATATTTTCACTTAGCGAAAATACTTTTTTCTCAGAAAAGTGGGATGAATTGAGCATGTTGCAAAGTACAAAATAATTTCTTCAGAAAGTACACTTTGTAACTTTTCATCTAAATTGGAAATATGAGGTGAGAAAAGAGCAAAGAGAAATAGAAGAGAAGACAAAGTATTTGGGATGTCATATACTTAGAGACTGGTATAAACTTCAATGGCTTGGGACTCATTAGCAATAGACAGTCCTATCAATACAGCACAGCTGAAGCATGTGGACTCACTTCCAGTAATCTGCTTTGCCCCCTACCACTGCTGACTTCAGGCTCCTCAACTGTGAAGTGCAGAGAACAACTACACTGACCTTCCTGGGTTGCAGTGAGGTAAAGGAAGCTAATGGATGAGTAGGTATTCAAGAAAGGTCAGTCAGTAATATTTTGTTGCTATCAAGAAACTGAAATAAAGATTTTAAGAATGAGCAAAGACACAAATAAAGCTGCCAGTACCTTGTGATGGTTGTGATCTACCAGCCCTCCAATCACATAGGCCTTTGATTCATCTAGGTCCTTCAGCACGTTAGGTGAATCTGATGTAAGATAAACCAGGTCTTCTTTTTTCATGAGTTCACTGTAGTGCTCTGGTTTGATGTGGATATCCTTAAAAGCAAGAAGGGAATTAATTAATTAATTAATTAATTGGCAGGATGTTGTGAAAGTTGGTTAAAAATGATTATCCTCTTTTCCTAAACCATCCCATCCAAAAACATCTGAAATGCAGTTTAGAGGATATGATCACAATTACATTTAAAACCTGTAACTTCAGTTTCTTAACTCATATCTCAGTTATTTAAATGTTCTCCTACTTTTATTTTTTGTTTGTGGCCTCAGCCCCCAATCTAATTCGGTACTCTAATGGTGAGATAATTTTCTAAACACTCAGTTATTACTATACAACCTTTTTCTGTAGGATAAAATCCAAACTCCTTAACATAGTAACTCTTTCCTGAATATGGCACTAGCCACCTTTCCAACTTTATCTCCACTCAACAACAACAAAAAATTCATTTTTCTACCTACTTGATCACACTGTTTTCCAGACCATATGTGTGATCTATAAAGATACAGATCTGAAAACTTCTTTACCAACTTTCAGTTCAGAGGTATAAGACTGAGTAAGAGGTGACAGTCAGGGCTTCTCAACTTCCATGAACCACATGAAAGATGTGACCAGACCCAGTGACTTATAAATGATTTTTGAGACAATCAAATAAAGCAGACACCTAAATTGTATAAGTTACTGATTAATACAGCTACTTTTCAGGGTAATAGTACATTATAAATGCAACCCCTACACTTAATAACAGCTTCAAGGAGGGATCTGAGTAATTAAGAGACCAGGGAATTCCGTATCTCTAGAAAACTTATGGTATAAAATATAAACTTAGCAAAACAAAATAACTAAAAGTATGTCTATCTAACTTATTACATTATTTCTTAGAAAAATAGGTACAAACCTAAAAGATTTGCTAAATATACTGAACTTATAAATTTTCATAGTATAGGCTATTAATGAATACAGCTATTATGGGATTAGTAACATTGGGAAAACTGAAAAATAATAAACAAAAATGTATAGGAAAAATTCAGCACCCCTCTCAATAGAAGAGTACTTGGTGATTGGTACCAATGCCAATCTATGTATATTTTCACAAATGCCTAGAAGAGTAAACTCAATAAAAAGTTATAAGCCACAAGTATAATTTTAAATTGTCTAGCATCCACATTAAAAAGTAAAAATACATAATTTTAATATATTTTAACACAATATGCCCATGTAATCTCCTCTCCTCTGTCTGTCTTTGAAATCTAGTGTGTACCTCACATTTATAGCATATCTCAACTCACAGTCCAGATTATCACATTTCAAGAGTTCATAGCCATGTGTGGCTCTGGTGGCCACAAGCTGGACAGCACAGATTTAGAAGAAACAAAGTGTAGGCGTACTTCTGACTTTTAGAGTGAATTTCCCAGGGAAAGATTATACAAAGGCCTTTAAATATTTCCTCTAAAAATTCTTTAAAGTTGGTGGTAAAATAGCAGATAAAATTTAACGAGAGTGAATTCAAACACCTCACTTTCTGCTTTAGCATCTCATTTCTAACCTCCGACAAGGGCTCAATGACACACAGGGTTTGGAGAGTACCATTATTTAGAATTAGGTAAAAAAAAATATAGGACTCTTAGGAACATAAAGGTTCTTGGAATTCTGTGAGGGGGACTGTTTGCTTGCCTTCCAGTTGACCCATCCTTTGTCATTTTCATCCATGTTCTTTTTCAATTGGCCTCCATGGCTTGTCAAATAAAACTGATGAGGTAGGCAGAGAAAGAGAAGAAAAATGATCATTTAAATCCAATTCTACTTCCCTCATACACTTATCCCATCACCAGTAAAACAAAGTATTTCTCAGTGACTTAGAAGAAAGTAATCTGTGATCTGCTCTGAGTACTCAGGGTATAGGTGGTAGAAAGGACATGTGCTAAGGTGGCAGCAGCCCTCAACCCACTCGCCTCAGTAACCTACTACATCTTCATTCCGCTTCTCTTCTGATTAGTTACAATGGTCTACCCCTGATGATCATCTCTCTGCAAACTTCCTGTTTCCATATCAAGTTCACACGTACCTCCCTGGTGGGAAGCTGTTGCCATTGTTAGTACTATTTTTTAAAATTTTCTTACTTTTTTATTTTATGTGTATGAATTATTGCTTGCATGCATGTTGTTGTACAATGTCCTCAGAGGTCAGAAGAGGGCATCAGATCCCCTGGAACTGGAGTTACAGATGGTTGTTAGCTGCCATGTTGGTGCTGGGAATTGAATCTGGGTCCTCTACGAGGCAGTAAGTGCTCTTAACTGCAGAACCATCTCTCTAGCCCCCTCGCTATTATTTTTATTATTACTTTTGCTACTTCAAAGTCTTAACAGTTTTCTTTGACTTTAAACCCTGGCACCTATTTTACATCAGAATCAAGGGCGATAAGGGGTCAGGTATAGGGAAAAATGAAAATTTAAAGACTATCAGAAGCATGATATAAAATTACACAAAAATGCAATACCATTACTTGACCAAAAAAAATGCCCAACCAAAAATATATCAGTAGTTCTTATCATCAGTGAATCAGTGTTAATTTTCAGATTACCTAGAATTCGAACAAAAAATCCTATTCATAATAGGAGTCAACCAGTCTCCAAAAGCACTCCCTCACCTAAGTTCAGGAACTACTTTTCAGGGGCTGTAGAGATGGCTCAGAGGTTAAGAACATTGGTTGTTCTTGCAGAAGACCAGGGTTCAAATCCAAGCACCCACATGGCAGCTAACAACTGCCTGTAACTCCAGTTCCAGGGGATCTGACAGCCTCTTCTGTCTTCTGCAGGCACTGCACGACACAGGTGCACTTACCTACATGCAGGCATAACACTCATACATATAAAATAAAAATAATAAAGTATTTTTTTTTAAAAAGAACTACTTTTCAAAATTGTCAATGGCTCAAAATGAAATCTGAAGTGCTTTAAGTAGACCAAATACATCTAACAGGTTTTACTACACACATCTTGCAATAGCAGCCTACCTCCCTTCCTTTCCCAATTCCCACAACTGGAAAAGCGGAGGAATTGGTGAGAAATATGCACATATCCTATAATGAAGATATTCAACTACATAGGGTGAGCAGACATTAAAAATGTACAAGACTGATGACTGAAAGGAGAGTGTCTGAGAATGATACCGATGTTTAAAGTATTTTTGTGGAGAAAAAAAATCTCAAATGAGCATTATACAAGCTTCCTCTAGGATTCTCAGGTAAAGACAAGTGGGATAGTATGTCATATCATGAAAGATGTGAAAGGAAGCTGAGTCTGTTATTAATCCTTCACACACACCTGCACAGGATGCGGTGCTCGTCGGTTTTCTGCATAACAACGCTGAATCTGCTTATGAAGTTTCTTAATGTCCTATAAAAGATACAATTTTTAAAATAAAGAGTTCTCAAAATCATCTATAGCCATTTCTTGATGTTATGTGAAAAGAATAGTCAGAAAGAAAAGCCAGATTGGCAGAAATCTTTCCTCTTAAATACAAGCCCATTCTGGTAATTTTCATACACGCTAACATTTCTACAAATTAAAGCTCTTTGGCTGATCTGTTTTGGTTTCTATCAGTTTAAAACACTAGTTGTGTTATCCTAAGAGACAACAAAATCTTTCAGAAGCATACTACCTTCACATTTTACCCTAAGGACATTGGTAAAATGGATCTCACAAAGATCTCCTAGCCTCTGCCTCCCAAGTGCAGGGATTAAAGGTGTGTGCCACCAAGACTTGCCTCAAATGTGCTCTATATCCCAGGTTGATGTCAAACTCTCAGCGATCCTCCTGCCTTAGTCTCCTGAGTACTGGGATTACAGGCATGTGCCACCATTCTGACTCCACAGATCTTTATTATTAATATGGAGTCACTTAGTTTTACAATGTAATTACAGAGTATCTGTCTCTACACATGTATAAGCACAAACATAAATATGTATCAAAGCACTTATTAATTTAGGGTTAGAGACTTTGAGAAGCTTGAGATGTATTCACACATATATATATATATATGTGTGTGTGTGTGTGTGTGTATATGTGTGTGTGTGTGTGTAAAATCAGAAATATTATACTGCATATTAAAATAACAATGATTTAGCCTAAGTTCACATACAGGAACTTCATGATACCTTTAATACCATCAGTTCATCAAAACTACAGTCAATGATGAGGCGAAGGGTACTAGGAATGACATGTCTTCGAATACGTTTTCTGTCATTTCCATCTGAATTTGAGTCCAGTTGACACTGTCGCTCTAATTTCTTCCTCTTGCGTTTTTCTTTTCGCTTTTCTCTAAAATTAGTAATTAAAATATCTTTTTGTTATTTGTATATGTAAACACAAAACTCTTCTAATTAGACTTAAAAAAGCCAACTATATTTTAAAATCATCATGGTATATGAATTTGTTGCTCCTGTGGGTAGAAAATGTTTGAGTATTGGCAACTTTATTTAGTCCATGCAATAACTTTACACAAAAAGAAAATGACTTTGCAAAAATAATATAAAGCTTTCTATTTAAGTCTTAACTCTATATTCAATAGTTTCACACACTCTGCCTAAAAGAACTTATAAAATACTAAATTTGAGATAACTCATCCCTTACATGATTTTCAAGCTCAGCATTCATAGAGAATACTAAAGAAAAAACATTTTAGTAAATTACTAAAGAAGCAAAAATTAAAAGCCCAACTTTCCTCTAATGTTATAAATTTTGGCATTAAGCAATAGCTGTAGACTAAGCACTTTCATAAAAATGTGTTCTAGCCAAATCCATGTTAAGTTGAGATGTGATTTTTCTGTGCTGCTTATGTTCACTCACCTCTAGAACATGGACACTAACTAATCTCTTATCCATTTGCTTCAGAAGTTGGGCTTCTATTCAAGTAAGGTTTAACTGAGAAAAGGTACTGACCCTGAGCTCATCAGCACTGCTGAAAAAGGAGTCGACAATTCAAAGCACATGCAGCTTAGCATCAAATTCAGTGTTAGCTAATAATATTCATAGCCTTAATTTTTTCTTAACTACAATTTTAATTAACGCAGTGCACTTTTCCAGTTAATGGGCATATGAGATCCAACATTCCATGTTTCTGAATAGGGACAGAGTGTGTGACCTCTGAAATGCACAGGGGCGCAGCGCGTGCTCTGAAATACACACTTGCGCAGTTGTCGCTGTTCTTCCCACTGCTTCTGTTTCATCAGCTTCTTCTTTTGTCGTTTGGATACTGGCTCAGTCCCTTCATCTAACCTTGACTCCTGGCTCTCCTCCTGATCTTCTTGCACATTGTGTTTTCTTTCCTCATTAGAAGTCTCAATTGATGCTGGCAACATTTCAGATGACATATTTGTGGCCCCTGAAAATTTAAAAAGCAACATTTTTTACATGAGTACATAATTTACAAACACAGAGGAACCCAATTGATGAAGAGAGGTCATTAATGTTAACTGTTAAACGTTAAACTGATTCAGTAATTTAAAGGTGCAAATTCAGATGACTAAATTCTACTTATTGGCAAAGATCTTTATCACTTAATATGATTTAAGTATCATTCATTAACAGTGCTGTCAAAGGACTGAAGAACTAGGATGTTTACATATATAACTGATGTACAGTAATTCTAGAAGGTAACAGTTATGTTTCAAGAGCTGGAATACATTGATACATTTTGAGTTAGTAATTTACTTTCTTAGATTTTCTATAAATGACTCAGAAATGTACATGAAAAGATGCACCACAATTTATTCATTGTAGTATTATTTTTAACTGAAAAGGTAGAGACTACTGGAATGTCAGAAAAAAAAAGAGACTAATAAGTTAGCAGCCACTAAAAAGCTATTTCCAAAATTATTTATTAATAAAGGAAATGGCTATATTTAAATAAGAAAGCCCAAACAACTATTAATATTCCTATTAAACCCAATTATTTTAAAAAGCATACCCATGGACATATGTTCAACTTTTGTCTATGCATATCTACATTTCTAACTTTGGACAATAAAGAGAAGTTTTCTTATTCTCTCCAATATATTTAATTGTATATTTGTAAATGTTTAGTTATGGCTAAAAAAGTAAAATAGAAAAGTTGATTCTGTAATCAGTATGTCTGTGTAAATCTTCATTTAAATCTTAGTACATACATTTTTATCCATATTCACTACAGCTGAACTAGCCTTCAGACCAGAGAAAGGCTATGCAATGGAATGTCTTTTCTTTTTAATAACTTATTAATAAAGCTTAAAGTGTTTTCGTATTTATCTCTACCAAAGATTAAGCATGACACTATCAAATGTTCCATGGGCCTTAAAGAAAATTCTAAGAATCTTCTTTTTTACAGAGATAGCTAGTAAGTCTATGTTGAGATGCTACAATCTAAACAAGAAAAATCTCTACAATGTAACTAATGAAGGGACAAAACCTTTGCAGAACATATTTGACCAGTGGTTTTATTTTATGATTCTTGCTTTCTCTAAAAGTGTACTGTCACATAGTTGGGATTTAGTTGTTTTGGGGGTGGGACGTTGAGAAAGGGTATTACTACATGGCACTGGCTAGCCTGGAACTCTTTATGTAAGACTGGCCTCAAACTCATAGACATCTGCCTGCCTCTGCCTCCCCAGTGCTGGGATTAAAGGTAAGGGCCACCACACTTTGCCTACTTGATTCTCATTAAATACTGGTAGGATAAACAAATGAGTGGATCTGGTATTTCAAAGGATTATAAAAAGAAATGGAGAGTAGTAGCAAACATTTACTAATTCTTATTGTTTAATAATTTATCACCTAATTTAATCCTTCGAACAACTCCATGAGGATTACTATATTACATGTATTTTAAAAATTTATTATTTATGTGTAGATGTGTCAGCCTGAGTGAATGTGTGTGCAAGCAGGAGTCTGTGGATGAATTTGTGTACAAGCAGGAGCCTGTGGAGGCCAGAGGAAGGCGCCAGATCCCCTGGAACTGGAGTTACAGGTGAGCTACTGAACCCGGACCTTCTGCAAGGTGGTAAATGCTCTTAACCATTGAGCCATCTCTCCAGCTCCAGATATGCACTTTAAAAGGACGTCACAGTGAGACTAAATAATTTGTTCAGAATTGAGTTACAAAATAATTCCTAAGAAACAAGGCACCTCAAACTAATCTAGCACAAAAAACATATTCAAAACAGTTGGTTGAATAACCAGGTGAATGAAGTGATGGAGTTAGAACTCAAGCCCAGATCTAACTTCAATACTTCCCAGTAATCTAGAACCTTAGAAAGTGTGGGGTTCTACAGAGTGCAAAAGAACTTGTGCCATTTGAATCCTGGTGACGGGCTCTAAGAACTCTGTCACTGAAAAAAGAGAGCTCCAGTTCTGTCCCTTCAAAAGGAATAAAAAAACCTAAAGCTAGAAAATATGATTAGCATTCAACTTAAGAAACTGCAGGCAGATAGAAACCACTTTAAGATTCCATCTTATCCCAGTCAGATTGGCAAAGATCAAGAGAACAAACGACTCCAAATGCTGGAGAGGATGTGGAGAAAGAGGAATGCTCATGCGCTGCTGGTGGGATGCAAACTCATGCAACCACTATGGAAGGCAGTGTGGAGAACCCTCAAAAAACTAAAAATGAACCTACTATATGATCTAGTGATACCACTCCTTGGCATATACCCAAAGGACTCATCATACTGTAGAGAACCTGTACATCCATGTTTGTTGCTGCTCTCTTCATAATAGCTAAGAAATGGAAATGACCCTCAATTGATGAATGGTTAATGAAAATGTGGTACATTTACTCAATGGGGTTCTACTCAGCAGTAAGAAAAGATGAAATTATGAAATTTGCAGATAAATGGATGGAGCTAGAGAGTGTTATACTAAGTAACATAAACACAGAAAAGCAAGCGTGTTTTGCCTCATTTGTGGATTGTAGCACCAATCCCTTATATATGTGAGTGTATAAATTCTGAATCAGGTAAAGGGAAAGGATACATGCAGGTAAAGGACAAGAAACAACCAGAAAAGGGATAGTAGGGAACAGATGTTACCTGAGGGAGGTGTAAAAATGGGAGTAATCAGCAGGGAGGAGAGAAGGGAAGACATGCAAAGGACCATGGTGTGGGGAGGGAGGGAAATCAAGAGAGGAAAGATGGCGGGAGTCAGGAGGTACTGGGGAAGGGTGGGGATAATGAGAAGCACTGTAAATAGAGAAGGAGGGAGGAGGGAAGCCAGATGGGGAAAAAAAAAGAGTGGAGATGAGTGAATCTCGGGGGACTAGGAAACCTAGAGATAAAAGTGATGCCCTAGAAACCCTATGAGAAATGCACATAGTGTCTGAACATTAATGTATATGTATACCTGGGAGCTGCTTGGCAGGGAACACCGTGCCAGATACAAGAGACCTCCCTTAGAGTGAAAAGCATGCCATACAGCACTCATCAAAGAAGCTTCTTTTTGCAACAGATAGAGGCTACTGCAGAGTTGCATTTCTGAGGCACATCTTCAAACTTCTACAACTAGGACTCATGGAACATAGCAGAATAACAGGGCAGAGAGAGGGCTAATGACCCCTCAACTCTTACCAGTGAGGCTTCCATTTACATCAGTGGGATGCACACAGAAGGCCACAACTGGCCAAGTTTTGGAGAATAAAAGACTGTAGAGTGTAGGATGGGACTCCTATATGGAACCTCACCCACCCAGGGCTCAGGGACCACTGTGGAAGAGGAGGTGGAAAGATTCTAAGAGCCAGGGGCTGGTTTATGAACAGACAGGTGTAGGCTCCCAGGCTACTGGGGAGGCTTACTCATGTAAGTGGTAAAGAGCATGGGATCCATGTCAGCTCAATTAAACAAGGGCCCAAAGGGGAAGTGAGAAATAGGTGGTGGGCCAGCACTAGATTGAGAACTATTTGAGACTGATTGCTTCTCGGTGAGGGAGAATATGACTTACATATGACCACTGGATGGGCTGACTAGACTGCATTTACGCTGAAAGACATTTGGGTACAAACACCTGGATGAACAGAATGCATCATGTATGGCAGAGTGCAGAGGGTTCAGAGGGGGGAGAGTGAGAGGCATGGATGGGGGAGAGGGGTCTGGATTTGAGTGGGAAATGTACAAAATTCAATTAAAAAATATTTAAAAAAAGAAACTGCAGGCAGGGGAAATTCAGTAAATCTAAAAAGAAGGAAAATTTAAAATACACTGTGATTCCCCCAGATCTCTTTAATTTTCCTTCCACACACAGTGCATTAAGTAAAATTCAGCAATGTTTCTAAAGCAAAAGAGGGATAAAACAAGACTCACTAAACACTAAAAAGCAAAATTAAAACTTACAGGAAACATTTTCTTTATGAAACTTTTTTAGGACAGCACATTTTTTTTATTTTTATTTTTTTAATTAAAAGAAGCATTTCATTACAACAGCATTAACCTATTCAATAAGGACAGCACATTTTTATCAGTGGCGATATTTTTGGCTAGTTCTCTATTTTGTGCAAAAACTGGAAATTTTGCTCTATAGTGTGAGCATTATAAAAGCGAAGCTTTACAAGTCACATACACCAGGGGGAGCGTCTATCTTTCGCTTCTAAAGTCTCAAGTTAAATTTAACTTGACCTATCACAGCACAGCAATAGTTTTAAGCAGCCTATCAAATACAAGGAAAAGATGAACTCGCCCTCATCATTATTTTAGTGATTCTGAATTAAAATACTGTGCTAAGTGAATTTCCTAAGCTTGATTTAAGCGACACTCACTGAAACATGAATACGCGAAATGCGGCTAAAATACTAGCTTGCTATTTTATTTTGGTTCTACTTTACAATGACGTACCAGCTCCGACTGTCTGCTATACACCGATATGCGTACTAGCTTGGTCTGTTACCTGTTACGCCAAATATAGCACTTTAGTCTATAGTTGTTTTACTTCGCGTCCTGACATAAAATCAATTGGGCTCTCCCTGATACAGTACAATTTCACTCAATTAACCAAGTTCAGCAACTATTTAAGGTCATTTTACAGTAAGGATAGAATATCTGTGTGAAATTCTACTTTAGCACTTTTTTAGTTGGGTGTCTCTTCAAGGACACAGGTTATCAGATGGTACTATAAAACTCGGATCTGGGTAACAGTGACTAAGGACATTTGCTGTGGGGCGGGCATACATGGTAAATCTGCGAGTGAAAACAAACCCCAAACCTTGCCTGTTATCAAGCGGGCTAACACAAAACAGCTCTCATGGTTTATGACAACTTTCAGAACTAGCTGTATTGGACGTGAGCACCCTGGGTTCAAGGATCTGCCCAAACTGGCGAAGCCCTTTTGGAAACGAGCTGGCCGGATCCGCAGTGCAAACCCCTTTGTTTGGTCGCCAAGCCCCTGGGCGGGAGGACTGAGGGGAAGGGGATCATAAGGTAGTTCATTAAAAAACGCAACCTGCTGCTACCGCGTTTACATCTCCGGGCAACCACATTCAAACACCGGAGACCGCCAGTTAACACGCGGGCTTAACCTTAAGCCGCCCTCCGCTCACCAAGAGGCTCGGGCGCATCTGCAACCAGGCCTGGGGGACCTTAGGCATGCAGAGGAAGGGGGAAGGGCAGAGGACGCGCCCGCCCAGTGTCTGCACACAAAGCGCCATGGCAACAAGCAATCTGGGTCCACATTTCCTCTCCCGTCATCTTTCCGGCACTGAGCCCCACACCAACTGCAGCCGAGCGCCCCGCCTGGCCAGGCGCACGCGTAGAAATAGACTCTCGGGCCCGCGCCCTGCACGCCGAGCGCGCGCGCAGGCAGTCCAACCCAGACGAAGCCGAGCGGGGTCAGCGGGACGCGCACCGCCCAACGTCACTTCCTCCGGGAACAGTATGGCGGCAGCTGCTTCCCAGGCCGTTCCCCTCTCCCCCGGAAGCGCTGCTGGGCGGCGTGGCTCGAGCTCCTGCGGCATCCGAAAGGATACTCCAAAGCAGACTCGTGCCAGCCGCAGGGCCAGACTTACCCGGCGGCGAAGCCGATGTGGCGTGCCGGGACGCACTCAGAGAGCTTTTCTGGAGAGTTCTGCGGTCGCTCGCCAGTCCTCCTTCGGAAACTTCAACTCCCAGAGGCCGAGGCGGTGGTTACACGAGGGCTGCGGCGCTTACGTCTTACGTCATCGAACTGCGCTAATTGCGAACGCCCAGGAGAAAGGGGAGGAGTTTGGCGGGAGAGTCTGGAGACGGGTTTGGGGAACTGGAGAAAATAGGAACCTGCGGGATGATTTCTTAAGTTGGAGCAGGGGAACCACGCCCCAGTTCTAGAATTTAAAACACGAAACAGACTATTAGGGTTTCAAACCACAGCAGCCCTCCCGGTCTCCAACGGGGTCTCACGGACTTCAGATTTCCCAAGCCGCGTTCGTTCTCCGGCTACTTTTTACCTGTCGCAGACGAAATGTGCTTAATTTTTCCGTGTTGAGAGGACATCTTCCCCAAAGTTTCTAATTTATGTACTGAAAGGTTATCAGTATCACGTGGTTTTTACCTAATTGGAAAGTTTTTAAACTGAAATTCTCAAATACACATTTAAGTTGGGACTTGAGAAGTTTTTATGGCCTTAGTGAAGCATAAGCTTTACATTTCGTTCTTAAAGCACTGAGCTCCTACGATGCTATTTTGCATAGCACCAGTTGATAATTCATTGTTAATACTTGACCTTATATACTCTTTTCGCTAAATATAGACCAACTGGGGGAGAAATGAAGCAGTCATGTAGACTGTGGGCTTCTGTTTTCTTTTTAATTTTCCTGCTCTGATAGGGTTTTGTAGAGTATGAAGTTATAGAGAAACACTTGCCTCTGCCTCCCAAGCCCTGGGACTAAAGGCATGTGCCACCAGACCAGCAGATGTCTGCCTTTTAATGTTGGAAGAACTGTGATGTAAATTTTTCTTGAGGCTTGGCCTTTGTTTATAGGCTTGAATAGAAAATTAAATTTACAACTTGAGTTTCTAAAAGAACTAAAATCTCTCTTGGATTTAGTCCCTCTTTTTAAAATTTTATTATTTTTATTTTATGTGTATGAGTGTAGATAGGTACACCGGGGTTTTGCAGTGCCTGAGGAGGTCAGAAGAGGGTGTCAGATCCCCTGGAACTGGAGTTACAGATGGTTGTTAGCTGCCGTGGGGGTGCTGGGAATTGAACCTAGGTCCTCAGAAGGGCTGACCCATTTCTTCAGCCCCAAGTTATGTGAATCGTGGATTCTGTTGTGAATATTCTGTTCCTTCCTCATCTCAGAATCTAAAAGATTCTGTTAGCTGAGCATTGGCAATGGAATCTGAATCAATTTCTGATCTGTTAGTAGGGCATCTTTTTTCAGCTGCCTCCATATCAGGGCAAAGAGTAGCTGTGGAAGGATTAGTAATTGGATATGGAGCCCTTCACATGTAGGTCATTAAATTCAGTCTGCCATAGTGATGTGCCAAATTGTTAAGCAGCTGTTCAGTTACCCCTGCGGGACTGTTTTATAAATATACACTTTTAGAGGTAATACCTAGCTTCCTTGATATTTTTTTTAAATCTTTTTTAGGGCTAAAAAATTCCTCATTTTAATAATGTAGACAGTAAATTTTCATGTGACTGTTTGGTTCTTGTAGTTGCATAATCCAAAGTATGCAAAACAGTCAGCAAAAACAGTTCAGTGTAGGCAAAGACGGAAAAGCACATGAAGTTTAAGGTAAAGCCCTGTGATCTGAAAGTCAGTGACATAAAATTAATGTTTATTTAACAATTCTAAGTTTTTGTCTTTATACAAAGGACTTTATACAAAGATGACTAAATGCTTATCTCTGCTCTTAAAGAATCTCTACTAGGTGATCCAGAAGTAAATAGATATCATTACAGTATGTACTCAAGTTGCCTGTGGATGGTTAAATGTTTCTTGAGGCGAGCACATAGTTTCAGAGATTTTGTGATCCTCTTCATCTTGGAAAGAAAATCATTTTCAAATGTAAGGAAGGCAGAAGAGTTTAAAACACTGGGAGCAGTGAAACCAGAGGGTAACGCATGCTACAGTGTTATACACAATCGAAAAGTGATGGAGAGAATGAGGAAGAACGGGGAATGAATAGCCCTGGAGACTTTTCTGACTTGAACAGTGATAGGGTCATTTGGAGAATGCTGGAAGGAAATTAGGCTTAAAAAACAAACAAACAAACAAACCAATAGTTGGGGGCTGGAGAGACGGCTCAGCAGTTAAGTGCACTGGCTGCTCTTACAGAGGACCCTGGTTCAGTTTCCAGCACCCACATGGCAGCTAACAACCATCCATAACTCCAGTTCCAGGGAATCTGACACCCTCCTCTGGCCTCCTTAGGAATTGCATGCACCTGATGCACTTACACACATGCAGGCAAAATGCTCATACAAGTGAAATAAAAATAAAAATAGTTTGGTTTTGAGTATGTGGAATCTTGGCTTCTAAGCAGTAACATGAAAATCAAGAGTATACATATGTACTTTGAGCCAATATAAGAGGTATGTGTGGGTCAATGCCTATCATATCTGAATCAGGAAAGTACCAAATGGAAGAAGTTATCTGGAGCAAAGCTTGAGAGTGCATTTCCTCTTAAGTCAGAGTGCGTGTGCCAAGTGAGTGTGGCCCCAATGACTTCAGATCTTAGGTTCACTAAGAGCAGGCAGAGATCTGAGTATGTGTGAAATCTGGTTTGTAAATATTGACAACTCTGCTTTTTAGAATATTGAGTGTCCTTTATACAAAATAGTATGAAGGTTTCTAAAGAAATTGAATAGAACTACCCTGTATCCAGTACTCCCTCTTCTGGACATAAATCCAGAGAAAATGCAATCACTGCCTCTGTTGCTAACACTCCTTCCTTGGGGGAGATGTAAACAACATCCTTCCTCCCTTGGTTCCAAGGACAAGCCAAGGTACCATTCCACCAATGTGCACTCTGGGAAACTGTTGAGTTTTTTTAGGCTTACAGAGCAGTTGGTAAGGGGGTACTTTCGGGAGTGTGGGTGTTTCCTTTTAAGGCCACACTGGAAAATCTTCACCCAACATGGATGCTGGCTTCCCTATAGTTGCATAAATAGCCCTTAAGCTTGTACAGTCTAGTCCTTTCCTGGGGCCATATGCAGGTAGGGATGAATTGCCCACCAGAGGTGGGAGGTGTGGATAGAGACTCAGGTGAGGGTCCTGTGACTCTCCATGCCCCTCCTATATGCGAGGGTGTCATCAGTGTACAAGCCTACCTGTGATGGTCTTTGACAAGCCAGCATAGCTGAGCTCAGAAAGATGGAATCTGTCTGACTCAGGACAGTCCAATACAATACTCCACCCTGTCCTCTAGCATTTATTCTTTCTCCCACCCTTTTCCATAAGTATTTAAGTCTTGGAGAGGGTGACATTGTGTCCAACTATTCTCCAACTCCAGCAAGAGATGGAGCCCTGGGGCTCACTCATCATCTGCTACTTGGAATGAGGTTGTTGGTGAACCTGTGGTATCCCTCCTGCTACAAAACACAAATGAATAGGAAGAGAATCAGAAACAGAAAAACATCCAAACGTACACTGGCTGCTGTAATAACCTATGGGTATAAACACAGATACTTGCAAGGCACCTTAGTAGGTGTATCACAACCATCCAACAAAACAATCCCAGGAGTTTCTCCACTGGTGCCTATGACTTCCACTGCCACTAGGGGTCAGCCTGGCCTGCAGTATCAGGCATATATTCCTCCCTCTAGAGCAGGCTTTAAATCGAATTAGAGATCTATTGGTTCTATACATGCTACTTGAACCACTATTGTACAGGCAGCAACCTCTTGCCTGGCATGTTCATAGTGCAGTATCATTAAGCAGGACTTGGGAGAATTCTCCCCCAGCAACCTGCATAGCACTTTCCTGCACTGTGAATGTCAGCCACCTGGTAGGGAGTTCCCAGCTTAGTCGAAGCTTGATTTCTTTCTTCCCTGTGCTCACATCATTTGGGATCTTAAGCAATAGGGTAGTTCTACCATGCAGCCATCATTAGTGGCAATAGCCTTTATCACTTGCCCCCCCCCCAGTCATCAGCTGATAGGGAGCTACCCATCCCTAGCACTGGGATTTTCATTTAACAACCATACATAGGGTGCCTTCTGTGCTTAAGGCTTTTAACTGCTGCTTTAGCAATCCATTCTTTTGATTAGCCCTGCCCCCGTGGGGATACAGGGAACATGGAAGTATCATTGCACCTGCTTATCCTCCACCTATGTTTGCACATCAGTGCTTGTGTAATGGGTGCCCTGTCACTATCAGTTCTCCTTGGGCACCTGTACATGACAGTAGGACAAGGTCCTTAATGGTAACTTTGCCTGGTGCTCATTTGCAGGGAAAGTTCTGCATAAGGCCCATGTCCATGTTCACACAAGTAAGAGCATATTTGCAACCTTTACTGGCTGGCAGGGCCCCTATATAATCTATCTGCCAGTTCCTTATGGGGCAGGCTGACTTATGCGAGTGTACCATCAGTGCATCCATCCACCAGGGCCAAAACTGGGATCTAGCCTCATAGGAATGGACAACGGAATGAATGTCAGAGTGTTTTACTGGAAGGCCAGCAGTTTTTACTTGTTTCCATGCTGTGCTGGCTCCCCTGTGGCCAGACTTTGTATGAATCCAGTGAACTGCCTGCGGGTAGAAGGCCCTCACCTTGGTAAGAGCATCAGCTTCCTGATTCCCTGGGGGACTCAGAAGGGGGGTAGGTTGCCACATGGTAAACCACCAGGGGCACCGCATCAGCTCCTGTTGTACCTTACTACCTTCCACATCTGCTGTCCCCACAGTGACCATCCCATCACCTGCCCGTTTTCTCTCTCCCATTGGGCCATCCATGAGGTTAGGCCTTTGAATACCGCCAAGTGTTAGTACAGATGGTCACTGGCCAAGGCTCTCGTGTTACTACTATCCATAGAGCTCTTAACTCAGCCCTGGCTTCTCTCTCCCCCTTTCCACCTACATAGCATTGTGCTGACAGCAATTGCTGCTCTAGAGCAGTGTTCTGGGTCTCTGAGCCTTTCCACAACTGAAACCAAAGCCTGATCTGAACTGACTGCTCTGGTTTTTGTTGCCATAGGCCCTACCCATAACCCTCAGGGCTCCTTGTAACTTCCAGGAAGAAGGGACATTGGGGTATTAAGGCACACAGCTGTTTAGCTTGTTCCACAAATATCTTAGCTTGCTCAAAAGTCTCTTGGGCCTTTCCATCCCAATCCCATGTAGCAACTCTTTTTATCAGATTATATAGGGGCAGTGTTTTTTATTCACTGGCACAGGCTGTTGCGAGATTTTTTTCAATAGCCCTGTCAAGTATGTCCTACCTGATCATACTCCAAAAAATTGTACTGCTGTGTCAGGCACTTGTACCTTGCATGGATTGATTTCCCATCCTCACTTCTTTAAGTGCTCCTGTTTATCCCCCAGATGGGCTTCCAAATCCTGGACATGAATTTCCCCTTTCCTTGTATTAAAGGTGAAACCTTTAATACATCTTCCCACACTTTTAGGTCTCTCCCTTCCTCATCGCTACCTGACTCCTCCCACAGGTTCCAGGTTTTGGAGTCCCAGGATGTGCCCTGTATTACTCATCTAATCTGGGCTCTCTTCCCTTTTTGACTCCCTAGCCATAAAAACGTCTGGCCAACCTCCATCTCTCCTCTTTTATCTAATTTACCAGCTAAATTGGAGGCTGATACTGAAGATGCCAGCCTGAGGAATTTCTTGCTGCAGTTACTCCCTTACCTCTGGGCTGCCACCTCAGTCTGGGACAGACCCCTTGTTACCCAGAGCAATGGCCAAACTACCTCCTCCTCACCCCTGACCCCTGCTGTGGGCTACACCCAGTAGTGTCTGCTCTAGACCTTTGTTCTCAAAGTATCTCCATACTCCTGAAGTGGATCCTGCCCATCAAGCAGGCAT